GAAAATAAGGCAAAAATAAGTGAGTGAAAATTTACAAATTTAACGCAGTGAATTTAATGAAAGATTATTAAAATCTCGTTCCTTTGTGAAAAATCGATCCTTTCCAGACCCTATTGTGTTAGCACATTTTGAAAGAGCGAACTGGATAAAGAGACATTAAGGTACGAATCCTCAACGTAGAGACTGGCGGATTCGAATATTATTCACGCTCAATTTAACTTATTGAGAGCCACGAGATGCTGCTTGATGGTTCAGGCTACAATAGCGTAACAATTAATCGCCGAAGGAGTATCTCAGTGCTCGGTAATTTCCTGTCATTTATCAAAACCATCCTGCTAATGTTCTTACAAAACATATGCACTACTCGCTTCTATCATTTATTTCAGATCGTTGAAATTATTCTTACGATTACAATGAAAAAGAAACAATCACATTGCTCAGATTCAACGAATTGTCTTTTAAATTGATTCAGTTTTATTGTAAATCTTCGAAAACAGGTAATGAGATAGAGGTGACGACGTCTAAGAACGTTATAATTTCATTTATTTGTACACGTTTGTATTCATATTTGTAAAGAATATTACATAACTAATAATAGATAGAAATTAAATAACACGACATCCTGTTTGTAACAAGTATAAGCTCTGTGTATCTCTTTTTGTGATGCTCTTAACGACATGCTTACAAACGATGCAATTGATCGATAACGCCAAGACGTTAAGACGATAGAAGAAACGAGTGTTCTTCGTTGGAATTTTCTGTATTACTTAAATAAAGATTTAAGTTATATTTAACAAGCTACGAGATACGTAAAAGCTACAAAAATTTAGAAATATATAATATTTGATTAATCGTTTAAGAATGGTATTCGTGAAATTTCATGAACTATGATTTATGTTAAATGCATAAGAAGAAAGTATTAATGTTTAGAAAATGGACATGTTATGTTCGGTGAATTATAATTCGGCTCCAATAGGAGGATCATTATAAGATATGCAAACGTATAGTTACATAGATTATGTATTATCTACTAATTTATCTTGAAATTAACTACTAATTTTCGTTGGTTTATCTGGCGTTTATGACTAATGCGCAGTGAATTCTATAAAATACCAAAAATTACAAAATGTAAACATAAACGCGGCTTAAAACATTAGAATTACAATTAAAACTACACTAGTGAATAGTTTGCGTTATAAATTATTATACAGGATGTCCAGCTTAATGTTATTATTTTCAATATCAGTTTTGTGCTTTATGGAGAAAGAAATTTTATCAATTTTATTTGTGGTACTTTTTAATTGAGAAAATTCCCCTCGGATGCAACATAAGAAATATGTTTAGGACGTTAGACATGTTTCTTTGTAGTCAAAATTTAAGTTCCTTGCCTTTTGCATTGATTACAGCTAGATACAACTTTTATCTATTTGAAGAATTATGTAGTTACTGCTTAAAACTTACAAGAACGTAGTTAAATACAAATTTATCGTACGATATAATTAAGTAGAGATCGCATCAAATAACACGACACTCACATTCTGTATAAGGCAAATTTCTTCAGCCACTCGTTTACGAGTATTGATTCACGCTTTCTACCATCGAATTTACATGGTTATTATTACTATTACTATTATTATTATTATTATTATTATTATTAAAAGTTTACGTGTTTTGTACTAAGTTTAACCAACTTCGCCCTTCCCCACCAACTGATGTTGGAAACCGAATTTGCACTAATCGAACCGCATTCTTCTCGTCTTCCACTACTTTGTACTCTGAGGTAGTTGGTACAACTATCGTTTCTCCGTCTTCAGTTTCATTATAATTGTACACCTCCTCTACTTGTTCCGAATCCTCGGTTTTACATTCCATTGTTTCATTTTCCGTGAAGGCCATCTAAAAGTTATTCAATTTTATAACGACTCGAACGTCGTTACACTGATCCTGGGTACGTTGTATTACATTATAGTATACGATTCAGTATTAAAAAATTATATACGTACTTCTCCATCAACGAGATGTCCCACTTCTTCGTCTGCTACATTTTCTTCTGTTGGCATACTCAATACATCTTCTTCGTTATACATTTGATCCTCGTTTTCTTCTTGTATAATAACGTGGTCCTTCAATTCCGTCACGTACAATTCGGTTTCCTCCAACTACAAAAGTATAAAAACATGCTTCGTAATATATACAGCAGGATACAAAGAAATAAACGCCTTTATTCACCTGATCATTTTCTGTTCCGTTCATCAAAATTTCCACATTACCGTCGGGAATTGCTATAACTTCATCTTCCGTAGTGAGTCGCGGTTGATTAACCACAATGGTATCGTTCAGATGTCCCTAAATGATGCAATTCATGTTGATATTAATATAATTGAACAATTACAGAATCTCATCATCTTACTTACTTGAGTTTGCATGTGAGCATACAACAAAGGTTTTCTCATAAAACCCATACCACATACTAAACATTCGTATGGCTTTTTATCACTGTGTATAAAACGATGTGCGTTTCTATTATCTCTACTATTAAATGCTTTACCACAAACCTAAAATTCAGCAATAACATTTCAAATCAGATAAGATTTTCAAATGAAGAAGGGAAATCCAAGTTAAACAAATGATAATTTTCACTGCAAATACCTCACAGAGATAAGGTTTCTCTCCAGTATGTATACGCATATGTTTTTTGAAATGTTCGGGATACACAAACGTTGCTGTACATATGTCGCATTTGTACGGTCTTTCGCCAGTATGGGCTGCTTTTATGTGATAATCTAATAATCTTCGTCGTTTAAACCCCTTTCCGCAATCGTCACATTTATACCGTTTATCATTGTAATGCGTTGCGCGCTTATGTGATTGTAAATTTGATCGTTGACTAAAAACGCATAATAATAAAGTAAGTAGTTTTTATATTTTGCAAACGATAAATATGCAAATAAACGTACCTGAAAGTAGCGCCACAAAATTCACACTGATATGGTTTCTCTCCTGTATGTGTCCTTTCATGATCTCTTATTTCAGCTTTACGGGCAAATGCTTTACCGCATACTCTACATATATATGGTTTGTAGCCTGTATGTACTATGTTGTGCACTTCCAAATTATGTGGTGAACCAAACGCTTTCCCTGAAAATTGAACCATTTTCAGTAATACTATGAAACTTCTCCCGATATAATGAAAACGAAAAAATAAATTAATAAATCGTACCACATTGATGGCAAACATACTCCTTTACACCATTATGAGTTCTTTCATGCTGATTGAGATTTTGTTGACTTAAAAATGTTTTATTACATTGTGAGCATTCGAAAGGACGAGGTCGTATTTCATGCGTTTTTACATGTGCTTTGTACGTATATTTTGAAGCAAAATCTTTACCACAATTTCCACACACATAAGGGCGTACGCCTGTATGCGTATTTATATGTTCTTCCAATAAGTTTCTAGAACTACGAAAACGGCAGAAATTATAACATGTGTTTTATTATTCTGTTTGAACGTAATTAAAAAAATCATTTTGTATATACCTATATCTTTTACCGCAAGTTTCACACGGCCAAGATTTCACTTGTGGATAATGAATTCTTTTGTGTATCCTAAATAACCGCAGATTACTAAATATTCTATTACATATTTCACACTGAAAGTCTCCCTCCTCTTTAGCAACATGATCATCGAGATGAACAGAAAGTTCATTTCTCTTTCTAAAATCGTCACCGCATATATCGCAAATGTATAAACGGGTTTCGTGCACGCTCTTTATATGCGCAATAATAGATTTTGCATCTCCTACAGCTTTATCTTCATCATTTGTACATAACAAACAAGTATACATAGAACCATCTCTAACAACAATCTAAAAAATAAATAATAAATAAAAATATTGCCATACTGATATAAACTAATACACATGTTAATAATTTGTTTACTTGTTCTTGAGGAGGTTCAACTTTTGTTGCAATTTTTGTTCTCCTTATCCTTTTTCTTTCTTCAGTATGGCTTGTTTCTGCTGTTGGCTCAACTTTAAGAACAATTTCTTCTGATTCACAATGTGGTTCTTCTTCTTCCTCTTCATCTAATCTTTCCTCCTCTTCCTCCATCTCTTGAGCTTCTTGGTCATCCTTTAAATAAATTTTGAAAAATCCTGTAGCTTTAACATACAACATACACAATGAAGGTACTTAATTTTATTATATCCAGTACCTTCTGTGAATATTTCATTTCCACATCTGTACTTTGACTTTCTGTATTTTCTATATAATCATGATCATTATACTCTTCTTCATTTTGCATATCAGCTATCTTTTTTATAGTTTTCTTATAATTATTGAATAATTCTACTTTAACTTCTGTCAGCCGGTTTTCAAGTTCATCAATCTGTAAATATCAATAATTTTTTTGTTATCTTTATGTAACTCAAATGATCCATAACATTTAACATCTAATTTACCTCATTAAATAATTTATAACATTTTTTACATATAACAAGAGAATGTACATTCTCTTCATTTAAATCTGTCTCCAAGACAGTACAAATGGTATCTACAAGTGGTTTTTCTGATGATGTTATAGAATTTTCATTAAAAATACGTATACTATTCCTAGTAGATACACCAACTTTACTGTTACATATTAAACAATGTGTACTATCTTTGTCTGAATCAGCCGTCATCTTTTTGGCAACTGTAAAAACAATGCATACATTAAAATATTATTTTATAATGTTAATAAAAAGTTCTTAAATATGAGTCTTCAAAAATTTAGTGGTTAGTAAATACACCTGTAATTTCGTACAGCTAATTCCATAATGCCTTATTTCTATAGATTCTTTTTTTTTTTTCAAATTAAACGAAATCATGGAACATAATGCATTAAATTATACCGTTATACTACATAAAAAGAACAGTAGCTGTACTTTGCATTTGGCGGAATAATTTTTCATTTTCATGATCGGGTGATGCGAGCAGGGCCAGAATCTGTTAAAATCAAATTTTCATAATGGTCTCATCTTATGTAATAACACACGGTGTGCGCTAAGAATAAGAAAACACCCATTGATGTCGTTATATCGTCGAACAATAACGTATCCAGCAATTCATTCTACACGCGAGGGAACGGCAAATAACACGACGGAACATTCCACGAGACTACTCATTGTAGCATGCAACGAAGCATTCTGTCCTTTGCTTGTATCGATAAGTAACCGCTAAAATCCAATAACCCTAACAATAACGTGCGAGGAACAGTAAACAAAATATTTGCCTACGTTCCTCGTCAAAATGAAGCCTTATAATAAACGTAAAAAGTTGCCAGCACTGACTTGAAATTTTCGTTTCTCTGTTTGGACGATTGGCAGCGAGCGAAACGGCAGACGAGTCTTGATGCCAACGCCATTTAGGTCTTCATGACAGGTAGAGTAGTTGGCTACGATAAAAGTGTAACGAAAAATGCGCGATAAAACTATTGCCACTTTTTGGAACGTGAACAGCAATTTGATGTCGCCTTCGCGTTAGGTGGAGGCACGATTGCGTATGCACGCGTCGGATGCCCTCTATCGGATCCTTTCTACGCGTAATGCAGCCATATTTTACAAAATTTCAGTCCCTCTAATAAAGTTTCACGGAATGTTTATAACAATCTAAAATAAATCGTACGAAATTTTATAAAAATTACGTAAATATTTCAATTATTCAAGACAGTATTTTCATATATTAGTATTTAAATTGAAAAACTTATTTATTGAAATATTCGTTTTGTATAGTATTTTTGTAAAGTACAAATATTATAATAAAAGTGTGCAACGATGTATTATAAAATCCCTTTATTTTTGTTTATTTTACTAAATTACATAAATGAGTAACTATATTTGTGAAATTCTTGATATAACCGGTTTACATGACTTCCAGATGGAGAGACGCATTTTTCTCCGCTATATGAAAACGTTTTCATGGACCAATCAAAGGATCTCATTTAGATGAATTTTTTTCTGAGTAGATCGACGTTCAAATAAAAATGTAGTTTATGAAATAACTCAACAGCCGCCAATTTTTAAAAAGCAGTGTGCCGCTCTATGTTAAACGTATCCATAAATGGAAACCGATGATCAGTTGGCGACGTACATCCGTGCATGGAAATTGTTGTTTTATCATTGAGGAAGGCGATCGATGAAAAGCAGCCAGCAACGTGCGCGTGGTTCGAAGCGCTTATTTTTATCGAATGATTTATGTAGTTACCTAACCTTTTTAATATGTTGATTTAAAACTTTTTACTGCCAATTTTACATTCATGATTGTGACACTCTGTTGTTTAAACTGCCGGTTGACAGCAGATAAACAAAACCGTGTGATTATTGACAAGTGTTCGTATACCCTTTTGTGAAATGAACAAACATGATTCAACGAGTAGATACGGACCCCTCGTCGGTGCAATCGATGAAGGGACTAGTAGCACTAGATTTTTGGTACACAAATTTTACTTATTATTTATGATATTACACCTTTTTAATTCTATATTACTAATTTAACAATAATCCATAATATCGCTGATGAACGAACTTATTTATTATTAGAATCTTAACACATCGCAACGTGATGTCATCGTTGTGTATGGGAAAGTGATATGAATATATTACAATAAATTAAAATTAATTAATAGGAAAAATCTTGTGAATTTAGTTTTACTAACACCTCAGCAAAAAAATGTAACAGTTGAACAAATTATTCGTAAAAATTTAGATAACATATTATGTACATTCTTGTATTGAACTGTTCTATGTACTGTGCTGTATTAAATTATTATTTTAGGTGTTTGCTGCAGACACAGCTGAAGTATTAACATATCATCAAGTACCTATATCACAGTCATGTCCAAAAGAAGGATGGGTTGAACAAAATCCTATAGAAATATTAAAAGCAGTTAGAGAATGCCTTAATCAGACTGTATTTAACTTAAGACAGCTTACCATAGATCCTAGTGACATAGTTGCTGTTGGCATAACAAATCAAAGAGAAACTACAATTGTATGGGACTCTATTACTGGAGAACCATTATATAATGCTATAGGTAATCATTGATACAAGAGCTATGATTTACACTTCTTTCATTCCTAACTGAAATCAAATCCTTATATTTGTCATTTTGTAGTATGGATGGATATGAGGACTACATCAATTATAGATGATATATTAAAAAAAATACGCAATCAAAATAAAAACTATTTGAAGCCACTCTGTGGTTTACCAATTAGTCCATATTTCAGTGCTTTAAAATTGAAGTGGTTATTAGAAAATGTACCTTCTGTTCGTGAAGCATTAGATCAAAAACGGTGCATGTTTGGTACAATTGATTCATGGTTAATTTGGGTCAGTTTAATAACAATCATTTATTGAAATATATTTTGTTACAAGAAAAAGTTAAAAGAATTCTTTTTTTTTAGAACTTAACTGGAGGAACAAATTCTGGTGTACATGCTACTGATGTTACAAATGCCTCAAGAACAATGCTAATGAATATCACAACTTTAAAATGGGATCCAACATTGTTATCATTTTTTAATATACCACCAGAAATTTTACCTGAAATTCGTAGTTCATCAGAAATATATGGTTATATACAAGATGATATTCTATCTGGTGTACCAATATCAGGGGTAGGCATCTCTTGTAATTGAAAAGCAAAGAATAATCATTGTATCTAAATTAACTATACTAGTCAAGTTATCTGTGTTTTACAGTGTTTAGGTGATCAACAATCAGCATTAGTAGGTCAAATGTGTTTACAAAAAGGACAGGCAAAAAGTACTTATGGCACAGGTTGCTTTCTTTTATACAATACTGGAACTGCTGTAAGGTCAACCACAGGATTTTTTTTTAATGTTTTTATAAATCAAGTAGTAATAAATAATTTTGAAGATTGTAGATTCATCTCATGGACTATTGACAACAGTTGCTTATCAGTTAGGACCACAGTCACCACCAATATATGCCCTTGAGGGTTCTGTAGCTATAGCTGGAGCTGTTATTCAATGGCTCAAAGATAATCTCGGAATTATTACTGACGTGAAAAAGTCTGAATCTCTTGTTGAACAAATTCCTAATGATAACCATGTTACATTTGTGCCTGCATTTGCTGGATTATATGCTCCATATTGGAGAAAGGATGCAAGAAGGTAAATAACATAATAATACAATACATTAATAATTGTATTATAATATAAGATGAGAAATCTTAACCAATTTTGCTGTCACATATCTCTTGCAAAGTATTAATATTTCAGTGTTATATGTGGAATTACTGAAGACACTAATAGTACACATATTATAAAGGCAGCTTTGCAAGCCGTTTGTTTTCAGACAAGAGACATTTTAGAAGCCATGAAAGAAGATACTGGTTTAGTTTTATCTAAATTGTTAGTAGATGGTGCTATGACTAACAATAATTTATTAATGCAAATGCAAGCAGACATTTGTGGAATTCCAGTTGGTAAGTGTAATCATTTTCAAATGATATTTATCTTCTATTACAACAAAAACGAAATACATAAATAAAATCAATATCTGATTAACCACAAAATTTTACAAGAAAGTGAGGCCTTTAATGTGTGAAACTACTGCACTTGGAGTTGCAATAGCTGCTGGAAGTGCAGATGGTATACGGAAATGGGATGTGAAAATAGATGCTACTGTACCAAGTGACACTTTTCTACCTTCAATAAGTGAAAACGGTACGTTCAGAAACTTTCTATTTCTTAATTTATTCAATCCATAAAAAATAATGATTTTTTATTTAGAACGAGATATAATGTATTCACAATGGAAAATGGCTATTGATCGAAGTTTAGGATGGGAACCCATAACAGATACCAGTGGTACGTTTTATCTGACGTATTTAAATTTTTCGTTTTGATTAACATTTTTCAAACATTAAGTATTTTTGTTACAGAGAATACAAAAAATATTCATAAAGCAACTGCCCCCGGCATTTTTGTGATAGGCACAATACTTTTACTTATGATTGCTAGGTATCAGTCTATGTTATGACTGAACGAATACAGTACCATGTACTGTATTTAACTCAGATATGCATTTAGGCAGGTCCTGTTTGCTAACAAGTATTTAGGCTATTGCTTAATATATACTGGTCATTAAACTTTGTAAAAGAAATATTATTTATAAGTATGGAACATGAACTAAAGAAAAAATACAAATAAAGGTGCCATAATACTGTGATAATTTTTGTATTAAATGAAATATGAAAAATCAAGAAAATATTATTTTAAAGTGAAAACTTAAGATTTATCTCAAATGTAGGTATTTATTGTTGTTTTGGTCCAGAATATTTAAATTAGATGATAGAACTTCGACAATTTCAGGTTCGACACCAGTCGCATGCTTGTTTGTACCTTGGTTCTCTTCAGCTATCAATTCTTTTGCATTTAGTATTATAGGAATATCCTGTAAAACCATATAAAATAAACATTACCAATTAATAAAATGCTAAACTAGATAGTTTAAAATACTACCATTAGAGTATCAGTAGTAGAAGTTTGAGCTGTAGCAAGAGATGTAGCAAGCCAAGCATCCTGCCTTATATGATCAGTGCCTAAGCGTATGCGTTGCGGTACAAGTATTCGTGAAATGAGTGAACGACATGCTTGAGACACCTTCGGTTCTTTAGGATATGTAACTCTACTTTGTACTTGCTATATCGCGAACAAAATAAAACAACATACTGAAATTCCTATTCAAATGAGAGTTTTACAAATAGAACTCTGTCACACTAGTTTATTACTTTTTTTGTTTTTAATGTACCTGGGTACCTTTAGAAGTTGACTGTAATTTGTATCATCAAATGGTAGTCGACCATAAACCATTGCATAGAGTACCACACCCATGGACCACACATCAGACAGTTGAGGTAAATATGGGATTCCCTTTAATATTTCTGGTGATGCATAAGCGTAACTTCCGCAGAAAGTTTCACTGAATGGAGCTATACCGTTTTTCGGTTTCATATGTCCACGTGCAAATCCAAAATCAGATAATTTGATATTGAAATTCTGATCCATTAAGAGATTTTCGCATTTGACATCTCTTTAATAAAATTATTTGGTTAACTAGGATGATGTGTAATACACAGTATAAAACTTTTACCTATGTACTACACCACGTCCATGACAATAATTGATAGCTTCTAATAATTGTCGAAACCATCGCCGACTACGGGATTCATCGATGAATGTATCACGTCTGATTATGTCCAATAAACTACCATTTTGAGCATATTCCATAATAATATAAACACTAAATAATAAGTGATTTATATAGCTATTAGATATAAATATTGAAAAAATTTTTAGAATATAATCATTTATTTAAGGAACACGATAAATCGACTAACCGATGGGTTGTTTCGATTGCTTGAAGAAAACGAATTAAATTTGGATGCTTTAAACCTTTAACAACTTCAATTTCACGGGGTAGGAATTTTTTTAAATAATCACCAGGGGCTTGGAACTTAGAAACGATTTTTACTGCTACTTGGCAATCATGTCGATCAGATTTTGCAATCTTTTATTACAATTTGTTATCAATAATTTACTAATATTCAATATTCATTTTTTAATGCTACTCTATCATTTACATAACATACTTTTACAGTAGCATATGAACCAGCTCCGATTGTTTTACCAAGAGTATAACCATGTGTTTCAAGAACAGTCAACTTTTTTTCCGATTTTTCATCATTTTTATCTTCATACACTGTTAATAAGGCTTTTGGAGAATTATTTGTTATTGGTGCAGATGCCATCTTAGATGTAAATTATTATTGTGGTTGCATATTTCAAATCCGAATAATTATTTTGAAAATATCATTGTGTTATTTGTAGTTATTTTTGTCTTAAAGTTATTTTCTGCACTTGCAACGATGTCATTTTACTTGTCGAGTTACATGTTTCAAAAAATTTTGTAGGAATATTTGGCGTTGCATAATTTGATGATCATGAATTGAAATTTGGCGCGATGCTCTTTACGCAGTGTCAAATAATCGATTACGGACAACATTTGAAATACGATTATTACGAATATATTTGTAACTTTATAACAAATGTAAAAAAAGAGTAATCTTTTCCTAATAAAAACAAAGTGTACAAAATTTAATTTTTATCACAAATAATTTTAAGAAATACAACATAATATATTGTATTTGCATATGAAATTACAGAAAATTAATAAAATATTAATCCCATTATTTAAAACGTTGCCTTTTCTTTTTACAAAGAATTAGAAATTGTTGTATTTTATATTAATAATACATTTAAAACTTTTATTTTAATATCAAGCCATAAGAAAGTAAGCACACCATCTATCCATCTAGATAACGCATACTTAATGACTACAGCCAGTAGTGTCCATTACATGACCGTAAACACGGTTTTACGTTAAGAGTTTGTGTTGATTAGTATTATAAGAAAACACAGAAGAATTTAAATATGGCAGATGTACTAGATATTGATAATGCAGAAGAATTTGAAGTTGATGATGAAGGCGACCGTAAGTTTATGAAACTTTTTATTATGGTTTTATGTTTACACGTAAACGTTATTTGTGATAACCTCTTTGATTCCTTTTGCTTCCACTTGGTTTTGTACAATTTTTAATCTAGCAATTAGGATTTTTAAAGATATTTTAATCTTTTCTGTTCAGAGGGTATCGCACGTTTAAAAGAAAAAGCGAAGAGAAGAAAAGGTAGGGGACATGGTGCAGAATTGGTGTCTACTCGTGATGATGTTGGTCATTACGAGTCAATGAACGTTGTTGAGGAAGATGACGATGAACCGGGACCACAAAGATGTAAGAGAGCTTTATAAGTATTTTATCTCGAAGAAAATATTTGAATAACGATAATTGCAACATAAGGCCAAATTTTACACAAAATGTTTAAATACTCAGTTTTTACTTGTTTTTAAGAAAGTACTTCTTATATTTTGTAGCTGTAGAAGGATGGATTCTATTTATAAATTCAGTACATGAAGAAGCTCAAGAAGATGATATTCAAGACAAATTTTCAGAATTTGGGCAAATTAAAAATTTGCATTTGAATTTGGACAGAAGAACAGGGTTTTTAAAAGGATATGCTTTAGTAGAGTATGAAACATTCAAAGAAGCTCAAGCAGCAAAAGATGCATTAAATGGAACAGAAATCTTAGGGCAGCCAATTTCAGTTGATTGGTGTTTTGTAAAAGGACCAAAAAAGTAAGACATATTCTATTTAGAAGATATAGTTAAAAGATTGAATTTTTATATTTGACTAACAAATTATCTTTTTGACAGAATTAAGAAGAGAAGTCATAGAAGGCGATGAAAAAAGGCAATAATTGTTAAAAAAACTTTTTACTTCATTTGTGTATAACTACTTCAAATAAAGGAGATTGTTGTGTATTCTACAGATATTGTCAAAAAAAATATTGGAAATAATAATTTGCAAGAAAAATTGATTAAATATGTTCTAGACATTCCATCCATTTAAAATTAATATTTTCAAAAGGATCCAATTTAAATTTGTAAAACTATACTTTCTATAGAATATATGAATAGTCGCGAGATAATACAAATTACTGCAGAGGATAATTAAAGTAGAGGTAACAAATACTACAATTTTATCTATTTTCAATAATTGTTTTTAAGTTCACAAATCGAAGATTAAATATAAAAATTTTCGTTTTTTATCATTTTAATTTGTTCATATTGAGTTATGTATTTTACAAACAACATTGTTTTCTTGTTGAAATTTAGTTCTGTTTATATAATTATTACACTCTTCATTTTCATTTATTATAGAATATACCTTAATAAATAAAGCGCCGAATAAAACATATTAGGCATAATAGTCAAGATTAGCTTTTTTCTTTGCTTGTACTTCATTAATAGCTTCCATTAAATCTTCATGTGTAACTGCTGTCGCATTACGCCTTAATGCTATCATACCCTATAGAAAAAGAAAGGAAAATAAATTGTCAATATTTCAATAAAATTATAATTTCGAAACATTACGGTATCACGTACCGCTTCAACGCAAACGGCTTTACATTGAGCGCCGTTAAAATCATCAGTAGATCTTGATAATTCTTCGAAGTTAACATCTAGAGACATGTTCATTTTTCGTGAATGAATTTGCATTATACGTGCTCTAGCTTCCTCATTTGGATGTGGGAATTCTATTTTTCTATCCAAACGACCTGATCTTAACAAAGCTGGATCTAAAATGTCTACTCTGTTTGTAGCTGCTATCACTTTAATATTTGCAGTTGAACTAAATCCATCTAATTGATTCAATAATTCCAACATAGTACGTTGTACTTCCCTGTCACCAGCTTTCTCAGAATCAAATCTTTTTGTTCCAATTGCATCCAATTCGTCTATGAAAATAATCGCGGGTGCCTTCTCTTTTGCAAGTGAAAATGCATCTCTTACTAACTTTGCACCATCTCCAATAAACATTTGAACAAGTTGTGGGCCTGCTAGTTTCAAGAAAGTGGATTTTGTTTGTGCAGCACAAGCTCTAGCTAATAAGGTTTTGCCAGTACCTGGTGGCCCATACAACAGCACACCTTTGGGAGGCTGAATACCAAGATTCTCAAATTTCTCCTTATGTGTCATAGGTAAAACAACTGCTTCTATTAACTCTTGGATTTGTTTGTCTAAGCCACCAATATCTGAATATTGTTCTGTAGGTCTTTCATCTACTTCCATAGCCTTGACTCTTGCATCATATTCAGCAGGTAATGTTTCAAGAACAAGATAGCTGTCTTTATTGACACCAACCAAATCACCTGGCTTTAATGCTTCTGCATCAACCAATCCAATTACAGGTAAGAAATATGTTTGACGAGTGGAAGTCTTAATAACTGCACATTTGCCTTTTCTTTGTGCATCTAAATCAACAACTGCACCATCTTCTTCCCCCATGTCTTGAGGATCAACATCTAACAATTCTATAACATTAGATACTAAGTATGGTAATGTCTTGTTTACTTTAATTTTTTCTGTATTCTCTTTAATTTTATCATTTTGTGCCTGAAGTTCATGAGAAATACGCATTACTTCACTTTTCATAATTTTGATCTCATTGTCTAATAAACGTGTTCTAGATACAACTTCATCAGTTGACATTCTCCAAACATCCTCACCCAAAACCTCCTAATAAAAGAATTATAAAAATTTTCATTTACCAATTATCATATCCTTGTTTAGTTTTATAAATTCTACATTGTGCATATATATTTATTGCATTTAAATTATTTGTTTCCTTGATATTTTTCGTAAAAACAATTTTATCATTAGTTTTTGATAATTCAACATTTGAAAACACAAACAAATGACTGTGAAATTTTCAAAATACAATAAATGCAGTAGAATAAAGTTACAAATTTGGGTTCAAAAATATCTCAATAATCGTAATAAAATTTATTTTTTATCAAACATTTCACATGAAAGAGTATAAATTATACAATCCATCGGAATATATCACTCTATACGTTCGCTTAGATATGCTTGTCATACTACCCTAACCTATATAAAATAAATTTGCGTTTCATACCTCTCCATCTTCCCAGAGAGATTTGTCTTCTAAAGTAGCCATTTATTTTAATAAATGTATTATGTTTAAAGTGTTAAAAGCTCAAAATATTTTAGAAGTTATTATTTTTCACAAATTCTGCTCAGCTGTGAAAGCAACTACACGTAATACATGTACTGCCTGAAGTAGCGAGTATCTAACCCAGGATACCTTTCTCTAATTTTTTTATTTATGGCGGAAAAATTTCCTAAACATTTGAATTTTTAAATTTGCAATACTTTAAGATTAAAAAGTAGCATTAATGTTTGCACAAAACAACGAACTGTAAAACGTTCGTCATATTATGATGTCGTATAATAATGTAGTGGATTAAATATAGATTTTTAACAATGAACAAAAACAGCGTTTCTATGTTTCATCATTGACAACTTGCAATTTATTAAAAATTAATATATCGATCATTATTGGTGTGTTATTACTGTTAAATATAGAAAAAACAGTAAATGTTTCTCTAGGTTACATAAAATCTTGACTAACTTCGACAGATAATTAATGACGATTGTAGAAATAATCCGAAGGGAGAATATTTATTTTGGTAAAGAAAAATGGAAAATTCATAGTTCAACACTATAACAAGCAGCTATCAAAATGAAAAAATTTCAAATTTTCGATTTTTATGTAAAATTTCGCAATTTGAAGTTAAAGAATTGCAGTGACAATGTATAAGAATTGTCAAGATTCCTTCGCTTGTTTATTAGTTAGAAATAATTTTAAATATAAGATGAATTCTTTCTTCAGTGGTGGGGCCCCTCAAGTGCTCGCTTCCCCTTCTAACTGCGTATTTCTTTCATGCAACATGTCTACGTTGTCAGGGAAACCGTACGACGCTAAGGAAGCAGCTATAATAGGCTAATATGACTGCGTTAAGAAAGCTCAAATTCTACGCAAGACGAATACATATGCATATGTAACACGCGTCACGCACAATGGATAGCAGTGAAGTGCAAACAATTTGTGAGCCGCCCCTTGAACAACATTTTTGTAAACAAATACAGGTACATAAGCGAAAGTATTCAAATAAAATACAGAAGTATTGTAAATAAATGTACTGTATATTTGTGTTACATTTGATATGGTAAATAAACGGTACTTTTAAAAAGAGAGATATGAGGTTGTTATGATTGTTTTTATTTTTTTTGTGACTGGTCATTCAGAAAGTAACATAGTGAGGAAGGTTCTGATTTTAGAATCAGAGTCGATTCTTAGTAGAGATGAAGTATATGTTGCTCTTATGGGTTGCATCCCTGAACCATAACCCTATGTATTTTCTACATTTTCTATTTTAAAAGTTGATAGATACTAATGTCTAAAATGAGACTGTCTTCAGCTTGAGTCTTATGTCATGTTTTTTTTTTTAGCAGCTTCTGCAAAGTCTGATATTTCAACAAGAAGGAACTCATATTAATTCAATATTGTAGTTCAAAAGTAAGTATCAAAGTTTTTAAGTCTCTTTCTGATTCATAAGTAGTGGCTGTTAGTAATTAGATCAAATATTTTACCATTGATTGCTTGTAGGAAACTAAGGATTCATCTTTGGAAAAACAAATATTTTTAAAGTCTAATAGAGAAGTAAAAAGACAAACTGTTGGAAAATTGTAGCAAAAGTATAAGGGGTAAAATGTGCCTGCCTAGTCTCTCTTGTAGACAGATCTGACTTATCTGACAATCAGGCTTATACCTTGAGATTGCTACAAGAAAAAGTATACAGAAAATTTGGAAAGATAAAGAGAAGAAATGCCACAGATGGAAAAAGAAGACAATAAGAAAAGACATGAAAAAACACTGAGTAGATGAGCTTCTGCAGAGACAATTACTAGAAGGGAATTACTAGAAATGTATAAAGAGCAGAATAGCAATTTAAACGAACGTTCAGAATCCGACAAGTCGAGTAAATCTTTTTCAAAGGCGAATCACAACGACAGTGGAAAATGTCGCAGCATCTTATTTAATATCGAACAACTAGTAACAGTCTAATAAGAAGTATTAGCAATTTATTATAAGTAGCACTAATGCTTTACAAAAAGAGATTTATAATTTAGTAAAACATATACAATTGAATAGTGGTTGAGATCTATGACATTACTATTCTGCTAGATATTACAAAACTGTCATTACAATGCCAAAAGTGCGACAGTCAAATAAAACACGAATCCTCAATCGCAACTGGGAAATCGATTGTCTATTTTGCAAACAAAACGAAAGCGCAAGATGTATAATATGCAACTATGTGATGACAAAAATCAAAGTATTCAACATTATGCGGTATTACAATCGATTTCACGCCGACCAATATAAAACATACACGACAGAAGAGAAGCGGGAATTACTAGAAATGTATAAAGAGCAGAATAGCAATTTAAACGAACGTTCAGAATCTGACAAGTCGAGTAAATCTTTTTCAAAGGCGAATCACAACGACAGTGGAAAATGTCGCAGCATCTTACGCAGTTGCTTGGGAAATTGGTCGTTCTCAAAAATACTTCATTAACGGAAATTTTATCAAAAGCTCTGCCATTGCAATGGCTAAGCTTTCAACTAGCTTTCAACAATACAGACGCCGTGAATCAATTCAAACGCGTACCTTTGTCACGTCAAACACTCTCCAGACGATTTACAAACATAGAGGAACATTTGTTAAACAAACTCCATTCTCTGATTCAAAGCTGTACATATTTTTCACTTTGTTTAGGTGAAAGTGCTAATATAAACGATACAACTCACTTGGCAATTTTTATTCGAATAGTTCAACCAGATTTTCTAGTAAACGAAGAATTACTCGGTTTGATCACTTTGTCTAGTCTTTGGTTTTCTTCCTGAGCGAAATTTTCAATTAAAAATTTTATAAAAGAGCAACAAGCTCGATGTTTCTGTAATTTTCAGACTAATTCGGACGAATCTTAAAAATTGTCACTTTTTCGAAGAATCACGTTTTTTTGTCACCCTGCAAAATTTCCGGAATACTAATATCTAATTCCGTGGTAGCGATTCGCAACGAACTTGACAAAGAGAAGTTTAAATGTACAGTAATTTGTAATACTTTTATAAATTCTTTGTAACGAAGTAACATTTAATGTATTAGAAAATGCCCCTACTTTCATTCCAAATGCCAGAGTGCATTTTTGGAAAAACATGAGAAAATGGACAAAAATAAAAACGAATTGTTTTGTTTTCTTGTTTTCAATTTTTTTTATTGACCTATTATTAAAGGAATTAATCAATTTCCAAATCCTCCAATCATAAATGACATAATTATAAAATAAATTATTATAAAAGTATGAGCTGTAACAATAGTTTTACCATGTATAAAAAATTCTGTCATTTCACTTTTTCAACCCATCGTTTAGTCCCTTCAAACTAGCAAAACTTCCTTACGACCTCCTGTAACTTCAGTATACGCTGAACTCCTTGTCTTATGATGTAATATTGGACTACTGATACACTTTACGAGCCAAACTGACCTATAAAATTACTAACTCAAGCTATACACTCCTAATACCAATTCCTAACCTAAAAACAGGAGTGTAGAAAATAGACGACGTGTACTATATAATAGAGCTTGCGCTAGGAGTGAAACATTAGAGTGACACATTGCAATGAATGGGTATTTGATGAAAGAGGTGGAGCTTAAAAACGAGAATCGATCCATCATACTCCAATTATTAGAGTCTAATAGTACGAGCTTCTGTCTATATAGTACGTTTTCTTATGTACTCCTGCTAGTAGGTTAGGTCTAGGTTTCGATACCAGGAGTACATAACTGAAGTTAGTCACCTCTTATGTTCCATTCCCTACTATTGCTGATTCTCTTTTTTTTTAATACGTTCATTATTACATCGTATTTTTCTTATGTACTGCTGATAGTGGAATAGGTATTGCTATTAGGAACGCATAACTGAAGTTAGTAACCTCTATTTTCCATTCATGAGTATTATTACAACACACTCTTATGCATTTCTACTAGTGCAGTAGGTTTCGGTATTAGGAATGCATAATTGAAGTTAGTAACCAACTATTTTCCGTCTTTCTACCACTGTTAACCTTTTGCGGACGGAGGACTATAGTATAACACATAATTAGGTCACTACTTTAGTTTTCTTTTTTTTTTCTTTCAAACTAAGCTATATCAAAATTTTATTTTAGTCAAACATCCGTGCATGAGTTCATGATCATTCTAACTATTTTTATTGCTTAAAATGATGATTCATATATGAATCTATCGTCCTCAAAGGGTTAATCGTCTTTTTTTAACACGTTAAGTAGTAACTACACTTACCCCTATTCGTAACAGTTGGAGCTGAAAATCAGAGCTCGGCGAAATGTCACTGTATATAACTGATTACTTCTAATTAAGACGTCCAATCTTCGTCTAAACCAATTAGATCATTTGACCTGCCAGAATAGAGGAACGAATCGCTTGCGAAAAAATTTCGATCGAGTTCAAATTAGGAAAAATTAAAAGTTTCACAATCTATTTTTTTGCAAATGTTTAAAAATTACTAACTTGAAAAATGAAAATTATATTTAAAAAAAAGGGGTGTACGTGACGATTAAACATGTAAAAAAACGATAAAAAGTGTTGGAATGGTAAAAGAAACGTTCCTTGAAGTATAATTCGAAAATTACGACGTCAAGAATCCTTTCCCCTTCGAAGGTTCAGAAGAAAATGGAGAGAATGAGAGGTTAGCCCTTGTATAAGCTGTTTCCACCCTACCTTGGCCAAATTAATGGCAATTATCCTCCCTTGTTAACATTGTTACTCCATGTCGAAGTCTCTATTGCTCTCTATAGGGATGAGATGATTCTGACTTGATTTCTAGATTATCTCAATACTCAACTAACTATAATATTGCAACATTTTCTATTAAACAAAACTGATACACGAACTTAACGAAAAAATTCTTAGTTAAATACGTATAATCAGACTTACAGTTCGATTCGTTTGCCAACACTTGGTAAAATGATCGTTAAAAGATAAAGTGGACCTTTCTGAACAATCAAATGTAGATTTAAACAAACATCGAAGACAAACAAGATGCAAATGTTCTGCTTTGCACATGAAAAATTCATGAGGAATCCAGACATGTGGCTTTTTCATCTCTAGTT